TTTGTTCGTTGACTGCTCGTTTTCCCCACTTCTCAGCACCCTGTTATTTTCAATAGGGAATATCCGTGCTGGCAGATAGTGAGCTTTGTAACTTGGGTATTTCACGTTAGAGAACGTCCAGATGGACCTGCGACTGCAGCAGCAGATTTAACACCCCCCAGAGATGGATGTGAACATTCATGAACCTCACTTTTTCTGTGTTTGGAGGTGTGATCACAATTGCATGAGGACATGTGGTCTGTGAGGGACATGTGGATACTGAGTTGCTAAAGGGGTGGCCCGTGTGCTTTTGGAACCCATTTCCAGCGTTCTGAGCCAGGCTCTGTGACCCAGGGGCTGGAGGCTGGCACTGTCCTCCCAGCTGGCTTCTGGTTGGGTTCAGCAAAGTGGGGGGGCGGGCAGGGGCCGGGGCAGCTGAAGACTGGCCTGGGGTGGAGAACTGAGATGATCCACCCACTCCTGGTTTCTGATGGAATTGCCAGAGCAGCAGAGTGTCACCGTGTCCACTCCTGTGTGAGACACCCGAGCACCACCTTCCACGTGGCCATCCTAGCAGTGCATACAGAAGAGCCCAGCACTCCCTGTCCCATGTCTAGCACGCATGGCCCAGCAACACAAGCAGCCTGTGAGCGTCTCGCCGCCCCATGTGCGCACGCACGGCCACTCTGCCCGCATCCTGCAGGCGCCTGCGCGCAGCTGCTGCTCTCCCTGTGGTCTTGCTCCATCTGGCCCTGAGCCTGGCTTCCGCCCGGCTTTGAGTGTGAAGACTTGCCCTTGGTTGCAGGTCTTGTCTTTGCTATAACCCTTCCTTTGATCACAAAAACTTAAACATGTCTAAGCAATTTCAAAGGCGATGCCCAGTCTTTACATTAAAAATGGCGAATGCATAAAAGTGCCAAGCAGTAAAGAAAAACTGCTGTCTCTTGAGATCATGTCACTTGGGTGTGTGCCCTTCTCTCCTACCAGACGGGGTCAGACCATGCACTCAGTGCCGCCTGTTTCTTCCACTTACTTTCCTGAACAGTATCATTAAGTATTATCTTATCTTTTAATCTGGTGGCTATGTAACCTCGATTTTTCGTATAGTTTCTGGGAGTGCCATACAGTTGATTTATTTCTTTTATTTCTACTTCTAAATCTTTTAGTGACTTACTAGGACTAAGCGCAAGATCCACTTTTCTCTCTGCTTCACAAAGCGTGTTTAAGGTGTGTGTGCTTAATGTGGAGAAACTACAGAAATCGGCTTGCCAGGTAAGCGAGCAGCCCCACAAGCCTGAATTCTGTAAACTCTTCGCCACTGTCCATCTAACACTGAAACCCTCCAGAGCGTCCCCAAGAAAGCTTTTCCTGTAGAAATTAAATTACTGTGTTCTCTAACCATGCCAGAAATGCACTAAGAGAAATCTCATCCTGACTGCTTCTCCTGTCACAATCTACGAAACACCTGCTGTTGTCTTTCTGATTTAAAAAAAGCACGTGTAACAAACACACCCTCAAGTACATAGGACTTCACGTTTTATTTATGCCACTGAAAATCCAAAGTTCTTTACATAGCGGCGAGGGCCGGTGCTGCATCTCACACAAGAGGGGTTTGGCTCCGACGCCACATACACTCAGTCCTGAATGCCTGCAGACTCAGTCCTGCACGAGAGAAGACCATCAGGAGGGAAAACATCCATTCCAAGTCTGTTTATCAGAGATTTTTTTTCTGAAAACGCACAGTGGCGTTTCATGCAAAAAACCCTTCATCTGCAGACCTGCAGGGAGGGAGGCCACGCTCCTGAGTCCCTGCCTCAGAATATCTCAGTTTACTAACCTCCTTCATCACGCACTTGAGGCTTTTCTCTTTAAAGAATGAATCTTTACGCATTCTGTACCCATAAAGTCGGCCGCTGTCTGCTACCGAGGCTACATTCAGATTTCTTCTGTGTCCAATAAGCCCAGAGCCCTGACTGACTTCAGCTGGTGGCATCCCTGTCTCTGTCCTGGCTGGCAGTGTACACGCTAGGGACATGTCGAGGTGACTGAAACCGAGGCAAGGCTGGGGTGTTTCCTTCTTTAACGTCTGTTGGTGGAGAAACGCACATCACCAGTCTTTTTGAGGGGTTCGTAAACATTTTTTCCCGTCCTTACTGGCCTCTACAGAGATGCCCCAAATATAAAATCACACTTATCTT